AAAAGCATTAAACTCTTTGCTAATGCAGTTAGAAAATAAACTAGTCTCTTGGATTTAGTGAAGATCACAGAGTGTAACTTTAATGTGAGAATAAGTTTTCACACCCCTAATTATTTGCACTTATATGTATGTAGATAAATATTAGACATTTGTTTGTACTTTATCGTTGATATATGTAATTAAAAGTGATATAATTAAAGTATTACACATTTGTATTTCTCATTTCTAATCATTTCTATTTCATTTTTATAATTTTTATTTTATATATATATTTTTTTATCTATGGTTTGTATGCAGTGCCTCACTTGTTTTTAATTGCTGTTGACATTATTAAAAGACCAATATAAAAAAAAGACAAATAAACTTGTATTCTCTGAAAACAAGGGTTCATGAAAAACACTTTTTAAATACATATTAATCTTGTTTTCATAATAATAATAATAATTAAAAAAAATATATATATATTATTTTTAAAGATTTTTACTGGTAAGCAAGACAAAAATACTGATGATTAATTTTTATATTTTCTGTTTTCATTTTAATTATTAGGTTTTAGTAATTTTATGTTTTGTGTGTGTGTATATATATATATATATATAGTTTTTATTATATAAATGTATTTCTTGAATTCATTCATGTTTATTTATCCTGTTAATTTTGTTGCTAGAAAATGAAGAAATCCTACAAACAGTGTTAATTTAGTATTGTTAATATATTATTAAATACAATAATAGTATATAATAGTTATAAAATTATATATTATATTAATAACAATAACAGTTTTTGTTTTTATATATATTAATCTTGCTGTCATAATTTTTACTGGTAAACGAGACAAAAATACTGAATACTGTCACCATCAAAAGTTGAGTGGTTGCATGCATTTGAAACTGAATTTCTGTTCTTCTATCAGGAAAAAGACTGTAACCTGCTAGTTTTGTGCCCTTTACCCTGATTCACTGTCGTTCTGTCAGCTGGTGTCTGTTGTGGAGGTGGTTTTGTTAATTGTGTGTGTGATTTATTGATGTGCATGTCAGCCGTGTTTTGTCATGATCTGGTTTTCTGTGAGGAAGTTTCTGGAGCGTGAGTTCAGTCTGAGGTCTGATTGTGACACACATTCACACAAAACCATGTCAGATCCGGCTCATTATTTCCACTGTTCATACACTACTCATTAGCGATGTGTGTGATGATATTAAATTGATGTATGCATTGGTTTATTAATGTCGAATCACCAGAATAAACGTCTGGCAGCACTAATAAGACACAACATCACTTATAAAAGCTTTAATGGGTTCTGACTGTGTGTGTAAATGCAACAAGAGCGGATATTTAGAAAAGCAACTTTACTGTGTGTGTGTGTGTGTGTGAGTGTGTGTGTGTGTGTGTGTGTGTGTGTGA